GGCCGCGATTTCTGATATTATTTTTCTGCGAAAACTTCGTTGACCTTTGGAGACATCATTAATATAAATAATTTTTATGGCCGTTAAATAAGAAATGTTTCTTTCACAAGAAATGTATAAAATTACAGTACTAAACAGACGATAGGTCGCCTAACTCGCCGTAGCGTGACGCTAGACGGCGAAAAATATATATTTAATTATAATAAAGTTACAATAAATTAAGTTAATATATAATTATATATACAGTACCTAATTTATATATAATTAATATATAATTATATGTACAGTACCTAATTTATATATAATACTGTACAGACGATAGCAAACTGAATTTAGCCGCTCCGTAGCGTGGCGCAGGGCGGAGGAAAGTAGTTCGGCTGCTCATCCACTATTGGTCCAGATTCTATCAATCTTGTCGCGAAACGACGTTATAGGAGGCACTTTATACGAATTTTGCTACAATTTTTTCGCTACGTTATAGGAATTGTCGTTATAGGAACGCGCGTTATAGGGGGTCGACTGTATTTCTATAAGTGTCCTATTTCATTAGTATAGTGCTTCTGGATTTGTCTGCTCTGACAGCCACTGTACTGTTACGATCCATCCATCTCCTTAAATTATGTGTGGCCTTCCAATACTCTTCATGATCCTGTGCAGGCCATACATAATTCAAAGAGATGGATGGATTATAACAGTATAGTAGCCATCAGAGCAGACAAATCCAGAATCATTGTATTTGGTGGACACAGTGTAGATACCACACATAATCTAAAAGTGAGGATCAAAGAGCATAAATACAGCATTCAGAAATGTCTTCCCACTATCGCATTGGCTTCTTTCATTGTCGATAATGATGTCCGGGTTGACTCTGACAATGCCAATTACTGTGACAGTGCAAGGACCCAGCCAACATGAAATATCTCAAACAACTGGAGATATTTAAAGTGTTTAAGAGGGAAACAGCAATTAATTTTAAAGACATGGACACATTAGAAGCTGTGTAAAGGGTGTGCTTTGATGTACAATAGATCCTCGTCAAGTTTGCTTTTTATATATTTTATATAATCTTAATATTTTAAAACTGGAATCCAGCTGGAAGACTAATTTTTCAAATGCATCGTTGAGCATGTGCTTAACTTCACAATGTGCAACTTTTTAAATTTTGGAATTTACGTTCTTTTATAAATATTCCATTTACATCAAAACATGATGATGACCGTTTAAAATGGAAGAAAACTTTTGTTTAGACAACAATTAATTGCTGTTTTAATGGTAATTGCTTATTTTTATTTAATTATATACCAGTAGTATCGTGGTGATTGTATAGATTCTGATTTCAAATAATAAATTTAATAAACTTACATTTTCAATTGCATTGAAGGATTCTTGATATTTTGAAATCAGTGACATTAGAAATTTTGCTTTCCTAGCTACATCTCCTTTTCCAGCAACTTGAGATGTGAGATCCTGCATATCCTGCAAATCTAATCCTAGAGAGAGAAAAAAAATTATAATGTTCAATTATAATCATTGTCAAAGGAAACTTAATTTTTGTGACTTAAAATATAATATAATATTAATGAAAAAGTAATAAATTTGAACAATAACGATGACTTTTTTAAAGTAAAGTAAAAAACATAAAGTAAAAAAATAATTTTTTTACTTTGTTTGTACCAAATATACAGTATTTAAGACATCAATTAATATAAATTTAAACAATTGTTTATAATGTAATTCTATATAATACAAAAATGTAATAGAAAACACAACTTTATTTTAGAAAAACAAAATCAATGAGTATCAAGACTTATAAAAGAACTGACTAATGCAAATTTCAAATTCAAAACTCAAAGTTGTGAATTAATCAAATTCACCTTTGCTAAATATACTTTATACCATCATTAAAAAAGTTAACATATTTCTTATGAATGTTAAAAGGTTATTTTTATAATATAAAGTATATTTTTTCAAAATCAAAATATTACTAAATGATAAATTAGTAAACATCATAAAAAGGAAATAGAAACTTTATATTGAAATATATTAATACAGTATTTTGGAATACATAGTTTATATTAAAAAATTCTGTGCTTTTGAAATTTTAAAGTATTTTGAAGAAATAGATTTACTATATTTTAAAAGATAAGTTTTTTTGACTAAAACATTACAAAAATGTTGAAGTATTCAAGGTATAAAAGCATGTTTGTTTCTTCTAATTTCATCTATACAAACTAGTGCAGTGTTTTTTAAGTTTCTAACAGTGATATCTCCAACTTTTTAATTTTTTTTCTTGTGGCACTACCACCTTACAATGTTGAGTTAGTGCACTTTTTGTACTATTAGTAATATACATAAGAATATGCTGCTCAGCAATATTTTTCATGTTACCTGTAATGATATCAGAATTTACTCCCCCGATTTATGATGGGGAATGCCCAGGGTTCAAGGGATCAGAGGGAGAAATTTGAAAGAATAGACGATTGAAGGAAAAAGCTGTTGGGGACAGATATTTAGTTTTTATTGTATGTGTTGACAAAGACAATGGAATTGAGCTACCATAGTGCATGTACTGTACTGAAGTCAATTAAAAATCATTGTTCTATTATAGTGGTGTGGTATTAATAGGACAAGCCTACAGAGAAGGAAATCCACTGACAGGTGGGATCACTACAGCACACCTAGTGTGCCATGGCATTAAAAACCACTAGATTAGTATCAACTATACATAATTAAATTAGAAATAAAAGATGAAAAAATAAAAAAGAAACTGGTAAATGGTAATGAGATAATAGTTGATTGATGCTAAACAATCATCAAATTTTGAGCACCTTTAAACAGATTTATATTGATAAGGTTGTTATTATGAGAAACTAGAAACCTTAAAACAGAAATTATGATTTTAAGATATTGTATTTAATTTTTTGTAGCAAATTGTCATTCACAAAACGACAATACAGTTCTGCAAAATCAAATTTAATGAAAAGGATTCCATGGATACTGAAAGGTTTAATTACATATTAATTAATTTCTTGTTACAGAAAACACTTCTAAAATTATGTGGTATCATTTGTTATGCTTGAACTGCAAAATAATATTAATATCTATCAAATTACCTTGAATTTAAACTGCAGTGTATTCATGTAATAACTATGATAATTTAAAAAAAAAATGGAAACATTAAAATTTGAAAATAGGGTTAAATTTACCTGATGAAAATAATCTTCCAGAACCTGATAAAACAACAGCACGGCATTGTCTATCATCCCGAATTTTTCTAAAACAATCTAAACTCTCTCTAAAACAGAAAATAAAAAACTTTTTAATTATAAGAGAATTTTTGGAAGTTTATATATTAACTTGACATATTTATGATGAATGACTTGGTAATAAATGCTATTAGTTTTATGAGAATATTTATTATATATTTTTCATAAAAAAATAAATAATTAATTTAGCATCAAGTAAAACTGTTTATTAAAAATATGAATTATTATTATAGGAAATTTTTTTTACCTCCAAAATGTTTTATCCATGGAATTCAATGTTTCAGGACGATTAATTTCAACATGAAGAACATGATCATGTGGTGACGTGACAATTAAAGTTTCAAATTCATACCGAGCAATGTCTGACATTTTGCGAGCTAACATATATGTAACAGATTTGTTAAATCCTGATAAACTTGATTTTGTTGCTGCAAAACCTAAATGATATATACAAAAATATAATTTAGTTTTTATATAATTATAAATTTGTTTAGTGATTTTATTTATTTGGTAAATAATCATTCAATATATATGCTGCATTTATTTTGAAAAATAAATAATCTACAAAACACTATTTTATTGTAGAGCTCATATCAGTAAAAACAGCATGACCCAAATATTTTTGAACCTCTTGGTGTATCATCAAGGATACCCAATTACTAAATATGTCAAAAAAAGTTTGGAACTACTAATCAAGATCTTGGAGTGTCATACTTTACTTTTTATATTATATTTCATAACTGGATGTCCTTTATGATGAACCAGGTTAAAAATACTCAGGTTGTTATTTTTACTGATATGAGTTCTCCAACAAAGTAGTGCTTTCGGGATTGTAAATGCTTGGATATAAATTGTGATTACAAATAAATATCATAAAAAAGGTTGTAAGGTTCAGAGGTGTGCATTTTTTATGATATACTTTATTTCAGTCTTACAGTATTTGAACTATACAAATAAATAAATGCATAAAGCATATAAAATAATGAATACTATTAATAATGATATAGTAATAAGAATAAAATTTAATTTTTTAATGTATAATTAGTAGGCTATTAAAAATTTAATTGTTTATGCAAATTATTCTATAATCAATGTTTTTGTTGTATCAAATTTTTTTCTGTTTTTTTTTTATTAAGAAAATAATGTTAACTTATCTCCATCACATACAATTCAAACTAATCTTAATTTTACTTATATTCCCATATACAAAGTGTGACAATTAAATTCCAGGACTGGGGTAATAAAAGGACACAAAGAACATATAATGAAAAACCCTTTTAATATGTTTCAAAGTAATCACCCTGGAGGGCAATGCATTTCTCGCAACACTTGTACAAGTTCTTGAAACACTTGGCAAAGTCACTCCCATTGACAGCTCTCAATTCCTTGGTCATTGCACTGTATGTCCTCCAGGTCATCGAATCTTTGCCCCTTCAATGAGATTTTGATTTTCAGAAACAAAAATAGTCACAAGATGACAAATCTGGTGAGTATGGCAGGTGGTTCAACTCCACAATGCCATGTTTGGCCAAAAACTCCTTGACAACAGCAGTAGTATGCAGGTGGGCATTGTTGTGCAGCAGTACCAGCTTCCTCTTGCTGCAAACTGAGGCCTAACCCGATGAGTTATCTCCAGATTGATACCAGTTGTCTCCACTATCATCCAAATAGACATTCGACGGTCATATCGCAGCAAGTCTCTGATTTTTTCGATGTTTTCTGTTGTTCAAACTGATTGAGGTCATCCAGGGCAAGCATCATCATCAAGGTCTTCCCGACCATTCCTGAAATGCACAAACCACTCAAAACCACAAGAGCGGGATAGGGCATCATTCCCATAAACTTGCTTGATGAGGGCATATGTCTCTGTTGCACTTTTACCCAACTTGTAACAAAACTTAATGTTTGCTTTTTGTTCCATGACAAGAACGTGATAGCACTTTCTCACAGCAATATGTGAATGGAGTACAGAAAAAGAATGAGTAACGAGACACAAACAAATCTTTGCAGACAAGTAGCCAGATGGTTGAACTATTATGACAAGCTTAAACAAGTTTCTGCACACTGACACTGCAGCACTACACAACTAGCCCTGGAATTAAATTGTCACACCTTGTATATATTTATATATTATTTTTATATATACAGTATATTCATGAGATTATATAAATAAATAAAAAATTAAAAGAAGTTAAAATCAATAAAATGTAAGTAAATGTAAGAATTAAATATAACCTATATAATTTGTACTAATTTGAGAAACCAAATTTCTCTAATCCCAATCTGAAATCTGGCAACTTAATCTCATATGACCTCCCCAGTTCACTAAAATATTCATTTAGGATTAAGGTCACCGGAGTTCATAAACAACTTTTTAGAATAAGTAGTTCAACAAAAATTAATACGTACAGTGGTGACTCGTATAACGTACGTCTTGAATAACAGACCTGTGAACAACATACTTTCTGTTTGGCCATTATATGACTCGAGCAACAGATTGGCTGCAAACAATGGACTTTCCATTCGGCAGTTACGTGAGGCGAACAACAGTCTTTCTGCAAGTGCAAATGATGTTTCCACTCTTTTGCCGTTGCCAATGATAATCTGCTATTTTTATACAGTCGACCCCCCTATAACGTGCGTTCCTATAACGGAAATTCCTATAACGTAGCAAAAAATTGCAGCAACATTTGTTTAAAGGAGCTCCTAAAACGTCGTCGCCGACTCGTTTTGCGACAAGATTGATAGAATCTGGACCAATAGTGGATGAGCAGCCGAACTACTTTCCTCCGCCCTGCGCCACGCTACGGAGCGGCTAAATTCAGTTTGCTATCGTCTGTACAGTATTATATATAAATTAGGTACTGTACATATAATTATATATTAATTATATATAAATTAGGTACTGTATATATAATTATATATTAACTTAATTTATTGTAACTTTATTATAATTATATATATGCTTTCTGCCGCCTGGCAACACGCTACGGAGATTTTAGGCTAGTAAGTTGAGTTTATTATCGTCTGTACAGTATGTAAATTAGGTACCGTAAGTCTAATACAGCACTAATTTTATACATTTCTTGTGAAAGAAACACTTCTTATTCAACGGCCATAAAAATTATTTATATTAATGATGTCTCCAAAGGTCAAGTTATTTTTCTGCGAAAAATTATTTATCAGAAATCGCGGCCGCCGTTTCGTGTGCTGTTCCGCGACGAAAACAAGCTTTGAGCAACGGCGTAGTCGAACGGTACACACTCGGTAAGTAATCCTATAATTTTTTGTTTATAGCATAGTTTATACAGATTATTCCCAAAAAATTATACGTGTTTTGGAAATGTTGAGTGGAATTAGTCTAGAATCGGTTAATTTTATAGAAGAAAACCTTTCAAACAGCCTTAGTCCGTAAAGTTCCCACCTATCGTGCTGCGATTGGCTCATGTATTTAATCATTCCTACAACATAAAATTCGATTAATGTGGAACGTATCTAAGCGTTATAGGGGGGTCTACTGTACTATATTAGTATTATTAGAATATATTATTAGTATATCTGAAGTACAGAGCTCCCATTGGGATTCGGCTTGCTCCCTTCTTTATTACGTACATCACCTCAGTGCAGGGTATTTACATTTATTTAAGTATTATGCAAATCATGGCTTCTAAAAAAACAGAAAGGTGATTTCAATTGAAACAAAGCAAGACATCATCAGAAGGAGCGAAAGTTGACAAAAACTTCCTTGTCAAATGGGGAGAGGTTCAGGAGTTTACCAACACTCATTATTCAAACAGAGTTGAGGCCAACAGAATCAATGATCTCTACAATGACACTCTTGCCCATCATTTCCTACAGGTGTTGAAGAAGAGAGAGAAACAGACCACCTTGAACATGTTTTTCAAGAAGCAAGCTGCAAAAAAACAAAGGATGGAACAAGAGAAGATGATCCTGCAAGCTCCGATAGCCTCTCCTGACTCTTACTCCGATTAAAGATTAATAAAAAGAAATCTGCTGCAATGTGTAAAAAGACTGTATCTGTATGAATATGTGAAGAAAGTGTTCCTCCACCTCCTCCTCACAACATCTGACTACCTGGCATAATTGGTGACTGCTCCATTTTCATTTTTTTTATGGTACAGTACAGTTATTTTATGCTGTGGAACGAATTACATGTTTTAACATGTATTTCTATGGGAAAATGCGTTTCATATAACGGACTTTTCACTTAACAGATGTGCACTTGAAATGGATTAAGTACATTATATGAGGCACCACTGTACTTACACAAATTAGATGATGCATGAGAAACTAAGAAACAAATAAAGCTAAAAGAATTAATTAAGGAGTCTAATTTTTAAAATTGAGATATAAAAATTTTTCAGGATTACACATCCATCATCAAAATCAATAAAAAAATGAATTTGACTATGGAATATGTAGTCCCCAAAATTCTAGATTAAGAAAATTAGACTCTAATCCTTTTATAGTGTCATTACTTGTTGATTAGTTAAAAATTAACATTTTGTTCTTATAAAAAGTTAATAAAGTTTTGTACATAATACATATTCAGCTTAACTTATTCAACAAAACTAAATATAATATTACACTTATAATCTAGCATAAGAGACAGTCTGAAATAAACATAGGTTAAATGAAAATTATGCTTTTCCATTTGTTCAGCTTCAATAAGAAGGATCTTATCATTATACCAGAAAGTTTCCATCAAGATAAATACTTATATTTGCTCTTACAATAGCATTACAATATGAAGTTGAAAAATAACATCTGTTAATAAAATGAATTGTTTGAACAAAGTGATTATACTGCTCACTTCAAATTTGCACCTGCATTTTCACTATTAAATCTAGAACAAAAGTATAATTGACAAAATAAATGCTAAGTCATGAGAATTGACAGTAAGTTACTTTATCTAATGAGTAAAATCAGACTGATTTTGCAAATTCTGTTATATCTACATAAAATGTTTTAACAGAAGCTATAAATAAAGTTTATATTCATACTTTCAGAAAAATTAAAAATTATTATTTGATATACAGTACTTTCATATCATAAATAATAAGTACAAATTATAAATCAGGATCTTAATTGATAAGATGAAAGATAGAATGAAGAATCATATCTACACATCAAAATTGTCCTTTCAGACCAGGATCAACTGAAAATCGTATTTGAAATTACTGAACAACAATTAAAACAATCAATTATATTTTAATTTTTAAACATGAAACAATAATACTAAATAAGATTATTCTATTTTAAAATAAAAGTAAAAGATATGATAAGAGCATAAATCATTATTGTCTTAAATTTTCTTATGTTATACGTTAATTTACATGTATGCTAACGATTTATTAGGTTGTTTGGAAAGTAAGTTCATTTTTTTACCACTAGACAGATTAGTCGTATTTTTTCC